GTGGTGGGCATGCGGGAGGTGCCAAGGACGATCCCGCTGGTGGTCAGGTGGACCCACTGATTTCATCAAGGCACGTGAGCGGAGTGAGCTTAGTTCGGGGGGCTTCCAGGGTCAGGTGGATGCCCCTCTTCGTGCATCCAAAGCTGGGTCACCGCAACCCAGCACCCAAGGCGGGCCACGTCACCACCGTAGCCCCCAGCAGCACGAGGTGGTTTCTGAGCATGCTCCCGGTGCCGGTGATAACATGGTATGCGTTCAGGTGGAGGCCTATGTGGGCTGCACAATATTATGTATGTTTGATGCACTTTTTTTTCCATCTCTCATTAATTTTTGTGGTGGTGCAAGTGTTTGGCATTGAGTTCGCAGTAATCACCGGTGAATTACTTTCGCTGACTACGGGAGTGGTTGGCCTAATTTCCCAGCACCCTAATAAAGCTCAAGAAAACTGCAATTTCCAAAGGGTGGTGGACTCAGTCAAACTTCTAGAAGGGTTTGTTAACAGGCCAGTCAATGCAACCGAGGCAGCACACCCGTCGCCTGCCCCGACAGTAGGTCGCAATGAAGAACCTATGTGGCATGATGCAGAGTTTATACGGGAATTGGCCCAGGCCAAGTTGGCTGACACTGGGACGATTGGCATGTCGGGTGTGCCTAGTTTTAGCCTTGGTTTGACTCAGGGGTTCGCAATGTAGAAGCAAGTTGATAACAAGGGTGACCAAACGGATACTGCTGCACCACTTCTTCAGGTGGACTATTGCATATGTCCATGATACTGTAAGGTCTGAGGCTTACTTGGACAAACGTTTGCAGGTCCCAGTCCGGGCTTAGCGTGTGGTGTCACAGTGCCCCTTACGGCAACATGCACAACTCTACGGAGGGTGGACGGGCCAGGTCACAAAGGGAAGGAACCACTTGTTCAACAGGACCCGGCCGAGTTGGCTGCCACTGGGACGATTGGCATGTCCGATGTGCCTAGTTTTAGCCTTGGTTTGACTCAGGAGTTCGCAACGCGAAAGCAAGCTGATAACAATGGTGACCAGACGGATACTGATGCCCCACCTCCTCAGGTACACTCTTGCATATGGCCATGATACTATAAGGTTTGACGCTTATTTGGACAAATGTTTGCAGGTACCAGTACGGGCTCAGCGTGTGGGTGTCACACTGCCCCCTACAGCAACATGCACAGCTCTACGGAGGGTGGACAGGCCACGTCACAAAGAGAAGGAACCACTTGTTAAACAGGACTGATCCGCTGGCATTTTCTTCAACACCACCTATGGATACCCGACCATTCCGCTGCCACATGTGTATGTTGTGTGGATGTGGGTATTTAGTCCCCACCAGGGTGATCGGTATGTTGCTTTAGTGCATATGGTCTATCATATCCCATGCTGTGAGGGGGGTGGGGGCTGGGGGTTGTGGTCTAATTCATTCGTATGATATTCTATGTGTAATCGGTGTCGTGGTTCTTGTGTTCTCATGGTTTGATCTTTGCTTTTGTCACGTAGCAATGAGGTGTTATTCTAACATGGTGAACGGACTGTGAAGTGGGCACAATTCCAAACGTTAAGGGAGCTAACGAGTGTCCAAAACCATTATCGACACCTGGTGTTGTGTTATGAATGCCCGGGAGAAAACGAAGAAATATGATGACCTGACCCGACTGTTTCTGCCTACAAGCACGACGGTATGCATTCGGCTCCACACCCGCCAATGTGCTGTGTTGAATCCCAGTATAATTTCTTATTGTGCTTTGCAGGTTGGAACTGTGGTTGGCACCTCAGTCAGCGATGAGTCGCGGATGGCCTGGTTTGAGAAGCGCATGGATCTGGTGTTGCAGAGTATTGGCCGTGAGGGGACAGCCGACGTAGATTTGGTGAGGTTTCCTACTGTTTAATATAATTGGCACACCACCTACCCCCATGTTGCATTCATCCTTTTTCTAATGCCAATGCAGTTCATTTTTCCGGTTTTTTACAAGGGCACCTACTACATGATGGCTATCAGCTTCAAGCATTCCCGGTTTGACATCATCGACAGCTCATCGGCGAAGAAACCTAACAAAGAAATGTATGGTGGTGCTCCAGAGGACCTGGTATGTGTATTTGATCTCTCAAATATATTAGGCTAGGAATGCACAGTACTGTAATTGTTGCGATCCTCTAATGCATTAGGAGTACGAATGCAATCCTCTTATGAAATTTAATGCATTAGGAGTACGAATGCAACCCTCTAATGAAATTTGGTGAAATTTAATGCATTCGGAGTACGAAGGATATGTAATTATTTTTAAATAATAAATCAACTATATCATTTTTAGTCTTTGAACATTTTCAAATCAATGAACACCGTGAGCACCACGGTAGATCCTACCATTACTAGTTCAAGTAGTACTAGTTCTGATAATACAATGACAGCAAACCAGTGCATGCGTTCCTACCCTATATGAATACAACCATGATTGCACCAGACCTAAAATGCATGCACACAAGAATTGAAACTGCACCAACAATACCACTCAGACCCACGGTTCACACCATGATATCACTTTTTAAATCTAGAAAAGCACCTACCTTCACAATGGGCATTAAAACTAGCATATTTACTAATTTTGATATGGAGTTCACAATGGGCATTAAAACTAGCACATTTACTAATTTTGATATTTACTCCATAATAGCAACTAGCCTAACAAACGAACATCATTCGCGAATATTACCTACTATACCTTATTCGTTACTTACATTTCTTCCATTCTTACACACTGTGCATTAAAACTATCTTATTCATTAACTATATAATATTTCCACCAATGACACAGCTTCCGTAATCCAACACAGTTTTCACCCAACCAGTGCATCAGTTTCAACCCTATTTTTCCATTCTTACACACCGCAAACTGTAATCCGTGATCTTGGTGCATTAAAACTATCTTACTCATCAACTAGCTAATTTTTCCACCAATGACACAGCTTTCTTAATCCAACACAGATTTTAGCCACCCCGTGCATCAGTTTCGACCCTATATGAACCCCAAAATTCTAAACACTACAGTCAGATTTTGCAAATTACAACAATAGCATAGTGAACCCATTGTATGCCGACCCCCTGGCTATCTATTGCATCACCACCATCATCAGTTTCGACCCCCAGCATCTTAAAACCCCCCAAATTAGTCACACAACCACCCCCTATGCAACCCGTATTCTACCTTTACAAAACGATAACATAATCAAAAACCAGAATACTAAATTATAGCCTGTGCAATGGGATATTTGTAACTTTGTACTCAAATAAACGTGCGGGAATTAAGTGCAGCCCACTAAACCCTACCCCATATCAACTACCACCCCTCCTCCCCCCCCCCCCCCCAGTGAGCTAACCTGTCGGACCCCACCATTGCGCCGACCTCCTCCGTGCCGCAACTCTGGATGCTATCCCTGACGCCGACCGGTCGGAACCGCCGTGCCCACCTGAGCTAGGAGCACGCCGCCGCGACCGTTTAAAGGACCGCGATCCGAATGCGACCCTGCGGGAACCGGCTGAAGGAGGAGTCTTAGGCGGTAATTGAAGGGTGTTCCTACCATGCTTCGACCGGCGTCCACCATTCAACTTCGCCATGAGCACGCGAGCTTACGAATTGCCTGACAGACGAGGGTTGGAGTGAAAAGCCCTACGACGGGAATTCGGGTGTGGAGGTCCAGCAGTATAGACGGTAGAATTAAAACTCCAAAACCCACCCAACAGGGTAATAGATAGTGTGCTACGCATGCACACTGTAAGCGCTGCACCCATGCTTGCGACCGCCCATCAGCAAAAAACGGACGGGAGATAACAATGCACACGTGACACGTCCACACTTTAGGCAAAGTTCACACCTGAACTGCACTATATATATATATATATATATATATATATATATATATATATATATAGACACACACACATACAGTCATTGCTTAGGCGATCGATAACATCTCGCTTAAAAAGTCCGCCTTGATAATAATGATTTCAGAGCAGGAGTATCCAAAAGGTTTTAGGCAGAAGCCATTGACACTGCTTGCTACAATGCTACGCACAAAACAGATGCCCCTAGTGAAACTCCAGCTTCTTGGTCAAAGGCAAGCTCTCACATCACTGAAATATTTGTCTTTTGCAACGGAAAGCTAGGCTAGTTATGTACTCCCTCTGTCCCATTTTGTCTGTCCTGTTTACTATTCATTGGTCAATTCAACTCTTTCTTCATTACTTATTTTCTTTAGTAATTTTTAATTATTTTTAAATTTGATTTTTTATGTTTAATAGTACTTTTAATGTAGTTTCTAAATATATAAATTTTATATACTAAAAATAAACTTAATATTATGAAAAATTGAAGTAAAAATAGCTTCAGTCAAGCGTCGTTAATCGAACCAGACAAACAAAATGGGACCGAGGGAGTATGTATTACCACCTCAGCTAGGTTTACTATGTCTAATACATTAGTAAAACAATACTTATGCCTTAGACCTATATATGATTATGAATGAAGATGTTAACTGTTGAACAAGCATCATAGTATGAGACTAGTACAAATAACTTGGGACTATCTTATGGTATAGATTGAGATAGGACATCAGTCTAAATTGTTGTTTATGTGCAGCCCGGTTACTACAGCAAAGTCATTTCGAAACTATTAAAGAAACATAAAGTGATAGAATTCACTCACTCCGATTCACGCCTTGCCAACAATGGGATCCCGGATTCAATCCAGAAGCTCATGCTATGTATGAAGCCCTACGTTTCACGGATGGAATTGAAGAGCTTGCAAAAAAATTAGTTAGCAAAATCAAAGGAAATGGTGATCATTACATCGCACTGCACTTGAGGTATAAAGATTGATAACTAAATGCAGAACTAGATAGGGTTAAAACTTTGTCCATGAGAATTGAATGCAGCTATAAAAAAGATAGGCTAGCTATCACTGGCTGTAATCACAATCTTACCAAGAAAGAAGCTGAGGAGCTGAGGAGCTGAGGAAACTAAGACACAGAACTAAGCACTGGAAGTGAAACGTATAAATGGAACAGAGAGGCAGCTCAGGGGGCATGCCCAATGACTCCCCAAGAGGCTGCTATTTTCCTTGAGGCAATGGGGTATCCGGCCAGCACAAAAATCTACATAGTCACAGGGACAATTTTTGGGCAGAATGGACTGAATGCGTTGCAGGAGAAGTACCCAAATGTATACTCTCATTCTAACTTGGCAACTGCAGAGGAGCTGAAGCCTTTTATAAACAGGCACAAACAGCTAGCGGCCCTGGATTACATTGTGGCAGTTGATAGTGATGTCTTTGCTTACATTTACTATGGTAACATAGCCAAGGCTGTTCGTGGCCAAAGGATGTTTGAAAGCTTCCGGAAAACCACCAATCCTGACAAGTACATGACACTACCTGATATTCTGTTTTTTGGGGGTTTAAGCTGCTTTCCCACTTACTTGATATCAGTCTTTCACTTCGTCTGAGATATCTGATATTGTATGCAGGAAAAGTTTTGTTAGAATTTTGGCTGAAATGGACAGGGGGGAATTATCTTGGAAAGAGTTTGCATCAGAATTGAGAAACTTACAGCAAAATAGGACAGGATGACCAAATCCCATAGTCGTAGGACAGACAGCAAAGTTGGAGGAAAACTTCTATGCAAATCTTCTCCCAGGTTGTCTATGTAGCAGAAGATAACCATGAACACATGCATAAACAGGAACATAACCATGAACACATGCATAAACAGGAACGGAACTATGTTGTTGACTTGTTCCCATTGCCACCAGCTGCACTTTAAGCAGCAACATTTACTTTTGCCTTCCAGCCAGGCAGAAGTAAAGATTGGAAAGCATACATAAGTGAAGAATATACATTTTTTTGTTGCTACTTTTCCAAAGTATGCTGTAAATTTTGTACCGAATCCAAATTTAGAAAGGATAAGTGTAATAATAATAGAATATGCACATTCTAGTTCTAGATGTTTTGAAATAGAAAAGTACTGTTACTAAAAAACAATATAGTATTTCGGCATTTTAATATCACTGTACTAATTAACATCGCGTACTGCGAACACCAAGAACATGGGAATAGGACCTCGTGTTAGATTGGATATGACTCATAATTTACCATCCAACTAATTATACCAATCAAGGAAAAGAATTGAAAATGTAAGTACAAACAGAAAGAGCAAAAGAAAAGTCCTGCTACTGCTGTTCCGTTGAATGGCCTTTGTTAACTCTTTGTTACCAAGCTCTACATTCTTTGTAGCTTCAACTGCCTGTTAAGTTAAAGGAAATTAAAAATAATAACAGCTTATTAATCACTTATGAAGGTAATCAAAGGTTTCTAGGGTAGATAAATTCATTTTTATTCAAATTAATATTTATCTAACCTGGTCATACAAATATTCTATCTGTTGGGCCTGTTGCAGAACATGTGTGGACATGAGATGGTTCAATGCAGACATTTCCACCATCTTTGTTTCTGTTTGTTGAACAGCATCCAGAAGACCAGTCAATTCTACCTGAATTACAGCCAAAGGAACAGTTAAGATTTAAGAAATCTCAAACCTATCCAAGATTGTAATCTTTTAAGATCTGCCACTAAAAACCTCATCCTTATGGAGAAAATTTAAGATTACCAGTTACCTGGAGGGCACGTGTTTCATCATCTAAAAATTGTTCCTGAACTCTGATAGGCTCAGATCGCAATTCATTTGGATTCCTGTCCTCAGAATCACTCCGCTGCTTCTGGTCTAAGTTGCTAGATGTAGATATCTCTGATGTACTACTTTTGCCGGTCCGTCTTGGTTTCCTTCTTGGTGCTACCCGGTTAATAGCATCTTGGAAGCGCAAGGCTCGCAGGTGGTCAAATTGTGATGAGACAGAGTGGAGCTTTTCGCTTAAAATCAAAACCTGTAATTCAAATGTCAATCAGTTGATAGAAAAATTAATGCTATTCAAAACTAGGTATGCACCCATTTATGCATTTACATTTTTACAAGAATTCCAACAATTAACAATAGGAAGCACAAGCCACAACCTTTCTTCACAACTATGGCTTATTTCAGACCCTTGGCTTAAAATATTTATAAGGCCTTTGGTTCACAGAATAAGTTGGGAATGAAATAGCATTCCACATAATAGATCTATTGTGTGATTTGGTTCATTTTCTATTCTGCAGATTTGGTTATCCAATTAAAGTCAAAACTTTGGTTCTGTCGTTCTGAATTCCAGACAGAGTATAGCGCAAGTAAATATATTTTGAACATTTTGTAACTTAGCAACATCATTCATTGCTTAGTTAGAGAATAACAAATTAAAATGATTACATGCTACTTCATAGAAGAAACAATTGTATGCTAATTGTGCACAGTGCACATGATCAAACTCTTCAACCAGTACAACAAATAATAAGCAGAAAGATCACATTAAATACTACAAATAATTCAGTTTTTCAATCTAGCTGAAGAAATTTTTCAGAATTCAGAAATACTAATAATCGTGTACGTGAACAAACTTTACAGCAAACATTAACATGATTATGACAAATAATGAGCAAAATGATCACATTGAATGCTACAAACAACTCAGTTTGTCAATCTAGCTGAAGAAAAGTTTGGGTTTTTATAGAATTCAGAAACTGAAGACCTGTGTTGATTTATCACCGGAGAATATTGAATTGGATTCTGAGCTATTAGTTCCTATTCTTACAGAAATGGTTAAGGTCCAATGGTCATTATTTGAACTGCCTCCGAATTCAAAATGCCATGCAGAAGCTGGACTGCTCTAGTTCTCATTGTTATTATTAGTATTATTATTATTATTATTATTATTATTATTATTATTATTATTATTATTATTATTATTATTATTATTATTATTTTGTTATTATTATTATTTTAAAATTTTAAAATGGTTAACCTGGGGGTGTGGTTGAGTGGAAGGGACTCATCCATCCTTAACCAAAGGTTAAGTGTTCGACCCTTGGCTTTGGGTATGGAGTAGCCTTAAAACTCCAGGCCAGCTGTCCCACCCAAAAGAGGTGCCTACAATCTAGCAATGGGATTAGTCACTGTGTCCGACGGTGGTAACGCTAGGTATACCCAAAAAAAAATTATTTTAAAATGGAAATTCAGTGGCTAATTCAGAAAACTTGAGTGTCGAAATTTCAGATGTGCAGTTGTTCTTCACTTCTTTGACTATCAAGCTCTCCCCAATACAACCCAACAATGCCTTCTTAAAGACAAGGCACAAAGGCCTAGTTCTAACTTCTTCTAAAAGTATAAATTCTTCATTTTCCTAGGTCCTCACTATTGCATTTGTTTGAACTAGCACTTCAAGCTTCACACGCGTATATGATTTACATATCATTTAAGGGGACTAGGGGAGACCCCTTAGATATCATGCACTCTTAAGTGCTCACACTAACTTTCATCTGTATAAGATGAGGTTTGTCCACTATCTTTGCATAGTCTAGCTGTGATAGGGTTTGGTGATAGTACTCTTTGGTTTCATGTCTCCCTCTCCTTTGTATATTCTAGCTGTGGTTCATAAAATCTACTGATCACTCTCTTTGAAGTGATGGGTTTGTATGTATGTATGTATATCAGTATATGCGTATGTATGTAAGCACAAATAGAGATGAAGTGAAAAACTCTATCTTAATTTCACAATACAGAGGTGGGATTGTGGGAAACAGTGTAATCACACACAAACATAAACTATTGATAATACTAATTTATGGACAAACAAACAAAAATATGAAATTATCATTACCACCCCATGTTTGTGTGCTACTGTATCAGCATTCGAATTATCACCCTTGAATCCAATCCAGCCCTTCGACTTTGCTTCTTCATCATCATTTATACTATTTTTGAGAACATCTATTTGCTCTTTGCATGATTTTATGAAAATGGTGACCTGCAGAAAAGTTATTTAACAAAGATATTTTAAAGGAGGCACTAAAAGCACTCAAAAAAAAGGTAGACCATTGTAGCTTCAAGGAGCAAACAAGTTAGCTTAACCACTGTAGCAAAGCTATGTGAAAATTGAATTGATGATTTAGTTAAGTTGGGGTTGCGAGAAAATGTTGATAAAGCAGATCATCTTACTTCATGCTCAATGCTATCTCTTTCCTGTTCAGTTGTGCGGTACAAATCTACATAATCCTTCTTATGTTTCAACAAGAATTCTTCCAGGACTCCAATGCTTTCTAACTGAAAATGAATTTGTATTAAAAGGATTTCTTGAATTATTATTCTGTTGTCTGTTTCAGTCCTATACTACAGAGTAAAAAGCATACAGTATATTCATTGTTAATGGCAGTCTCTTATAAAATTAAAATTTTGTGAATATAAAGTATACATGATAAAATAAAGAGAAAAAGCATGTTATCATAAAAATATACCGTCTTCAGTGCAGCTTTGGTGAAAGATGATCTTTGTCGAGGTTTGTGCAAGATAAAGGATGCTAATATGGCTGCTGTTTTGGACTGCAAGCAATCAATATGGTCAGAAAACAGCAATTTGTTCCCAAAACTAGGCAAGGAGCAACAAATGTCACAAAAAGGATGCCATAAAGTAAAATTGAGTGTTAGTTGTCAATATTGGATCTTAAGAAACAGTGATAGAACCATTGAAACCCCAGAATTAGCATATGAACACACAATCTCTATGATAAAAGTATGGAGGTGAATGTTAACACAAACAAATGCACAAGCAACAGGGTGCTTCTTTGGGTTCCAGTGAATGTATAGTAATATATAAGAACTCAATGACAGTATAAAAAGACATAGTAAACCCAATAGTAGCTACTAGCCACTTTTAGAAGCAATCTTGGTACAAGCGCAGGGGAAAAGCAAGACATGCTGATACTGAAAAAGCAAGACCAGTGAGGACTTTAACAAACTATTTGGGTTAAGAAATCCTTAAAACTGTAGATTAATGATCAAGGGAAATAGAGAAGCATTAGGCCACATAAGAGTATCTCCAAAGCAGAATATGCAGCATCAGGCCTTATTAAGGTCTTAAGGCAGACAAAAAAGAAAATATGCTAATGAAGTCAAAGTACCTCATCATACCCCAGAGACACAGCTGATCGATGGACAGTGTCTTTGAAATCCTCAGTTCTATCTCTAATTTTTGCCATCCCTTTACAGAAATAACACCAAATTCCATCAAATCTCTCAAATCTAAAGAAGGTAGAGTAAACAAATCCATACAGAATAAGTAAAAAATGCATCGTTAGCATATCAAAATTCCATAAGTCCATTACAATTATGCTTCAAAATGTCAGCCTAATACAAGCAGAAATACTTGTGCAACAATCAGAAGCGTATAGAGGACGGAAAAGAAATGATTTATTCTGCTGATGGAAACATCTGCAGCAAAATGAAATCTCAAAGTTTAAATTCATTAGTTTTATTTCAGCTGAAAGTAAACAATTCCATACTGCAGTCCATAATCATTTATGTGAAATTTTATCAATATGAGAACAATGGCTGCATAGTTATTAGTTAAGTATGTCAACAGGGAAGCTAGACTTCATCCTCCACCCTCTGCCCTTGTTCCTAACCCTGACCCCACCAGTTATTAAAAAAATTCCCCAATCCCCACCTGATTCAAATATACACTAAACAAAAGGTTGAGTATTACAATCTTTCTGATAGCCAACTAATGCGATCTACCATGGATCACTGAACCAAAACTTCAATTTCCAAGTCTTAAACCAAACAAAATAAAATCACAAGCCACTTCAGATAATGACTCTAAACAATTGCATTCGCAACACTAGCGATCCTAGGCCCAACGTAAATGCCTATTAAATAAGTAAAGAATCCATCTACTGCTGCTACAGCCTAAAGGCATGAGAAGGGAGACTACAACACAGCAGTGATAGTTGTCACTTGTCAAGACAAAGAAAACCATATAAATTAGCAATCCTGTCAAGGCAAGAAGAGCAATAGTCCCAACCTGCAACCAATTGGCCTAGCTTGGTCTGAAGCCTTTTTAAAAGCCTATTTAATATGTAGGCAATTAAAAAGGCTTCAAAGTAAGTCCAAAATAGGCTTTGAGCCTATTTAAGGCCTACATGTTATAGGCTTTAAGCCTTTTTAAGGCATACATGCGTAAAAAAAATTTAAAATATACCTAATACAAATATACAATAATACAAAACTAATACATGAGTATATCACCACAAATCCATGAATCACATGACAATCAATCAATAACCAATTAACCACAAATGACAAGACCAAGTTCATAATACAAAATCCAACAACACAACTTACACAAGTTTAATAACCATAAGTTCATAATGTAAAACCCAACAACACAAGTTTAATAACCACAAAGCACAAGTCCATAATACAAAAATCCAACAGAAGTTTAAACACAACACAAAACCATCAGTGCATAATACAAAAATTCAAACACAAATATAAATATCATTGAAGCATTTTTAAGCTCCAAAACAGCTGTAACAAGTAACAACACTCTACGACATGTATACACAAATATAAGCATCATTGAAGCATTTTTATGTTCCAGATTTAGACAAACAAGACACATTCCCTAGACACCATCAGGACATATTCCCCAATGGTACACATGTTAGACTACTCCAAATATGCCTATGCTACACACAACATTTTGGGCTTTTGGCATCCAAATCAGATTGAATGGTATGATATTGACTCCAAAAGACTTGTTTTTGCATGCTTCAGCATCCTATTCTGGCTAAGTAATCACTAATTTTTTCTAGACCACTTCAATTTGTCCCTCTGCTCAATAGTGAAGTTCTCCCAAGTTCTGAAATCTACAAGGTTGAAATTCATATCAAAATGTTGTAGAAAATTTGAAGCTGAAATGAGACCATGCCAAAAGTATTGTTCAAGTTCACATGGAAAATTTTTCAAGTATAACATTCTTCTAGGTGAAATTAATTATTACAAATAATTATACTAACAATAATAATCTTCAAAACACAACTTTTCAGCAAGAAATTCGTAATAAAATGTAGATTAACAGATCAAGGAGCTGTTACAGCTTACAGTTCAGGCAAGCAGTGGATTTTGAATTTCTGATGCAAAAGGCCTTTCCATTACTTTAGGGAAGAAACAGATGAAGAGAAGAGAAAAGAAGATACCATATTATAACAGTAGAGTTTTTAGAATAGCAATTCATCAATTTTAAAGTAGTAAAAGAACAAACACATCAACGCAACCGTAGGCCGCAGCCTGCGGCCCGCAGCCCACAGCACCGCCAGCGACCGTCGACCGCCGATAGTTGACACTATATCCACCATTCATCTACACTGTAAGCTACCGAAGTATGAAAGATTGGAAGACTGGAAGAAATACCTGTTGCTGCCAGTCGCCGCGCTCGCCGGAGGTTGTCGCCGGTCGGACACTCGGACGGGAACCGCAATTCGCAGGGAAGAGCGGAAGTGGAAGAAGGAATTAGAATTGGGAACTTTGGAGGATTAGGATTTGATAATTTACATTTATACAAGGGGTTATATTGTAAATATAAAAATAAATAAAAAATGTGTTTGGTTTATGAGTTTACATGTCAAGAATGAGAATAAAATTTATAGTTACAGGACGTTTGGTTTGAGATTGGGAATTACCTAGGAAATGAATTTAATTTCGAGATGAATTATTGGAATAAAGTGTGAATTTAAATTTTAGTATTTGGTTTACAGGAATAGAATTATTGAAAATTTCAATTTCAATGTTTGGTATATATAGGAATTGAAAGAGAATAAGTAATATAAAGTCAAAAACGACCACTATTGTTGTTAGGCATTAATTTTAGGTTAAAAAATGAATTTTGTGGCCTTTGAAATTTTAACTCATCACTATCTTTTTTTTCTTCCTAAAATCCCAGGAATTAAAATTTCAGGGGGACATGAGATTTTAATTCCATGAAAATGGAGAAATTGTAATTCCATGGAATTGCAATTCCTTTCAACCAAATAAGAAATTTTGTGGCCTTTGGAATTAGGCGGGAATTAAGTGGTAAGGGAATTTAAATTATCTTCAACCAAACGTCATGTTAGTATTTGGTTGATAACTTGTTGAGTTAATACTTAAAATGATTCTCGATTATAATAATTTTTCTAAATTTTGTGCTAAACGACTTTGATGACTTAATGTAGTCCCAAAGTTTTGTGTTTTTACTTAATTTAGTCCTCAGTTTGTTATTCCGCCCATTTAATGTTAAATAGAAGAACAATTTAGTAATTTCAATATTCACATCTCTTTACTCATAGACCTGCGAAGTGTGAAATCCCTTTTTCTTTTACGAATTACTCACAAAATTACTACCCAGCTTGCGAATATCAAATTTGATTCGTAGCTTTAGGAGTAATTCGTAAAAGAAAGATGAATTTTACACTTCGCAAGGCTGAGAGTAAAGAGAAATCAATATTGAGATTACTGAATTGTCCTTTTATTTAACACATTGGACAGAATAACTAATGGAGAATTAAATTAAGTAAAAACACAAAAGTTTAGGACTAGGTCATTAAAGTTGTTTAAGACGAAATTTAGAAAAATCATTATAGTCTGATGATCATTTTGAATGTTAAAATTTTTTTTATGAGTATTATTGACTTTATTACAAGATAGTATAATACCACATTCAGCACAAAGTGCAAGATAACTAAATTAGTTAATTAATTAAAAAAAAAAAGTTAAAAGTTACCATTTTCACGAAACAGTTGCAGAAAAGAATTTTGGGCGAAAATCCATATTCCTTAACCCTCTATAGTCTATATAGTCTATAAACCCTCGAAAGTCCAAATCCGCTCCGCCGAACTCCATTGCGCACCTTTCGTCATCCGCCTCCGTTAGCGATTCTGCGAATCGACGACAATGAAGCTCTTGACTCACAACATGCTGTCCTCCAACATAAAAGGAGTTACCAACGGCTTCCCTCTCCTGATCGTGGTGGAGAAGGCTACGGAGAAGACGGTGGATTTCAACCCGGATTTCATCAAGAACCTGTTCCCCAAGATCGAGTGGAAGGCGCTAGTCGGAGCTTCCAGAGCCCTGGGCTATGCGGAGCTCCCGGAAGATGCCGACGCCGCCGCCTCCATGCTCGACTCCCCGGACTTCCTCCAGAAGCTACACCATGCGCTCTTGGAGATTCATCTCGAAGAGGGAGCGTTGGTTTGCCCCCAGACTGGCCGCAAGTTTCCCGTCAATAAGGGGATTCCCAATATGCTTCTTCACGAAGACGAGGTCTGATTTATTTTAATTTTGTATTTTTTTGTTAGAGGTGTGAGTTAGGGTTTAAGGGTGCTTTACGTGTTGTGGCTTGGTTTATGTAACATGAAACATTTTGGAATCTTATCATGAAAATGCAGTATTCAACAGAAATCCATTTGCTTTCTATACTTAATTGAGATTTAGCTTTAGTTTTTTGTATCAGACTTCAATCAGATTTAGATGCATTTGACAAAGACAACGAATCTCTAGAATTCTTGATTGTAAAAAGTTCAAACTAGCAAATTAGACAAATAGAAAATGTTTGTTCTCTAAAGATAATGGAACTGGAATTGCATACCAAGTTGCAGGATATTGGAACTTTATCAGAAAATTCTTCACTTTCTGATAAGAAATGGTGAAACACTTCCGCATTTTGGGAGTTCGATGCCATGCTGTTTGGCTACACTTGAGATTTCATACAGTTAATAATGCAGCAAGGGCAAATAGGTTTTGTCCAAACTTTTTCAATTTGAATTAGAGAACAAAGATTGCAGAGACAATCTACAATTAGATGAACCGATCAAAAGGAGATAGAATTAATATTCTGTGGAAGGTGGGAGGAGATTGAGTATGACAAATGTGTAAAATCACTGGACACCCAAGTCAGGAATATCACTACTGTGTTCAAGGAAAGTGATCAACTTGTTTTGATAGTCACTCGAACAGGGAGAAAGAGTTGGAAGATCAATGTTGAGGTTTTCCAGCTAATTCGTCTTTAGTATTTTGAACATTGTATTTAATTATAACCAGTTGAGTGTATTTAAAGCATACTTTGTGTTTGGTCACAGATTCAGGAATCTTGATTGGTGCCGAAAGTAAACTACAAAGCTTAAGCAGTATGACCGGATTTAGAAAGCAAGTGATGAGAGCTTCAAGGTATATAGAAGTTATATCTTACGAATTTGGTCAGGTAAAATAATAAATGATCAAAATTGTTTCAAACTTGTATAACCATTGTTTTCTGTAATTGACCCTGCTAGGATTGTTTTTGTTTGGGTGACGAGGGAAATGTGCCGCCACTACCTGAGGGTGTGCACTGGGTAAATCCCGCTTTGTGACTGTAGCCAAACCAACCTAGGTTGCCCATAGCTGATCGATTCAAACCAAGAGGGTTGGTATTCGAACTCGTGGCCTTGTGGTTACTAGTTTGTATCCTTAGTCATCTTGGCTGGGGTTACCCCCCACCCTGCTAGGATTTTGATTAGGCCATAGAAGAAATATGTCACAAGGATGATATGGAGAAGCTGGGGAGGTATCATCCAAGGTTTGCTGATTTTTACTTTGTTTGGTAGCCCTTTAAAAAAAAACATTCTTAGTGTGTCTTTCAACAATCTTTATATTCAGCTGACAACATGTGTTACAATAAGCTCCATTAGATTATGCCAGAAATCAATAACAATATGGCATTGTTGTTGTATTGACTGTTATTATGAATGTTCATTACTTCATCATAGTCAAATATTGTTTTTGTGATTGAACTGAAGTTCATCAGATAAGTAATTTCCAACCTAGATCAAGATATGAATAGAATATTCCTCTCTGCCCATGATATCTTAATCAGAACCAACATTGTGGTTGGGAATAGTTATGCCATCTGTTAAATCTGTAGTTTTTACTATAACTCGTAAATATATACGGACTGTGCACTAAGTTAATTTTAATCTTTCTTGGATTTTCATCATGTTTGTTTGTATAACATGGCTATGGCTGCGTTATTCCTGGATGATGATGATAGTTTACTGGCAATCTGGCATCCTCTTTTCAAGCATTTCTTAACGGAGTACATTTTTTGGAACCTGAATTTTGCATTATGGACTTATGGTCCCTGGCAATGTTTTTTTTTTTTTTTTTTTTTTTTTTTTTTAAGAAATAATACATCTGATCTCTTTATGCACTAGTACAAATATGTTGACAAATTTTGGAGGGGCATATGCAGCATTGAGAGCATATTTTTTTAAGAAGCTGTCATATTATTATGAGTTGAAGAAAAGAAATAACAATGAAATGGCCAGCACTGCCAAATCATTTATTCCTATAAGGGGGCAAACCCCTTCGTGACTATGTAATTATGGCCAATGCTAAGTAAAACCATTGGCAAAAGTCTATGCAAAATCAAGTCCTATACAAGTCAACTAGATTTGAAGCGTTGCGTTTCACTTTGATTCTTTGTCGCATGGGTAGCTCAACTGATCACAGCGGTGAAATTTGTTATAAGAGACCAATGATTGCGTCTCACCAGCTACAATGTAGGAATAATTTCTCAAAATAGGGAGTCTAGCCTCTATTGAGTCACTATGATTATCCTTTCACTAATTGTCAAACTGGCACTTAGGTGGACGATTCCACTTTTTGTCACAAGTCCATTCAAAAAGAATTATTCCAGATTAAAAAAAAAAAAAAAACCGCCCAAATGAGAAGTTTAGGCAAGTCTCCTAGAGATCCATTGATACGAATTCCTGATCATTATTATTAGTTTTGGCCTCTACTCTGCTGCGGTTGCTCAGTTATTTTCAGAGCCTCCTGCCGTTGAGCTACTAAAGTAGATAACATCCTTGTGAAATCATTAAACTTTTGATCGAATTTAGTTATATTATTATCATTTTGAAGTTGTTTCAAGAAGCTTGTTACTAAATCATCAAAGACCTTCTCCCCATTTTCAATCAATAATTCTGATTTCAACTCATCATCTCCACCAGTTTTTGTCAAATACTTTTCAATCATAGAAACAAGAGCTATTATTGCAATTGGATACCAATAATATACGTGAAAATAGTCTTTTCCCTTCAACAATCTCCTTGACGTAAATTCAACCCAACTCAAAATAAACATAAATAACCACACTCCAGTTTCAAACAGTAGCTCCATTGAAGGCCAAGTTTTTTCCTTTTTGTACTCCTTAACATCTAAAACTATCCAATACGACAGTCCAACTGAATTCACACCTATGTGAAGTGTGATTAACGCGGTAGTTACTGACTTAACTTCCGTGGAATCTAGAAAATCACTACCGAACAACATTAACGTCCAACAAGCACGACAAAATCCAGGTCCATCAATGAATTTCTTTTTAAAGAGTACCATTGCGGTTGCAAGGATGATGCCAATAACCACTAATTGTGGAATACCATTCCCTATGCTGCTTCCATAATCTGCAACAAAATAGGGGCTGGGTCTAAAAAAAAAAGAAAAGAATTAAAAATTAACGGTGATTTAATTAATTCCATTTTTTTATTTTAGATTTATAAGAGCATTCACAATGGTGGAGGTTTTTTTTTTGAAGAATTTTTGTAAATATAAGAGTAAATACCCAAAATGGTTCCTCGACTATAGCTAAATTCCCAAATTGGTCCTCAACTTTCAATTTTAACCAATTAAGTCCTTAAGTTTCAAAATTTGACCCAATTTCGTCCTATGTTAAATTCTCCGTTTAATTCCCGTCAAGTTGAAGGTCAGAGTGGTAATTGCACAGCATTCCCGCCTTTGCACAATATTCCCGCCTTTGCACTTCACCTATCCACCAAGTAAACAAGCAAAATCCCCAAATAATAAAATCTAATCTCTGCATCTCTGAATCTCTGCCTCTCCGAATCTCTGCATCGCTGCCTTTCTCTTCGTTAAAATCTCCAAATTAACAAAACCTAACCTGTGAATTTTATATCTTCGTTGAAATTGAAAGTCGAGGTGCTCATGGCGTGGCTAGGAGCGCAAGGTCGTACAAGCCATGGAAGCAGTGGACTAGGTATGTTTTTTCTTCGTTATTTTTAGTCGAAGTGTGTAAATGTTTGTCTGTAAAGTTTATATATGCTGAGCGTGAATAGTTGTTGGGGAATTTGGGGACCAGTGGGGGAGTAGTGGGTATTGGTTTTGATGTATGTTTGTCTGGTTTTAAAGTTTATATGTTGATTTTTGTTTATAAAATTGGCTTTAAGCAATGGGACCATGAATAGAGGTTGAGAACTGTGGGGACCAGTGGGTAATCCTTTTCAAACAAGCATGGGGACTATACACTTACTTTGTTAACATCTTAGATTATTAAAGTGTATTGTATTACTTGTAATTCCAATTGTGTTTGGCTTGTAGTGCATGATTAAAGTGCTTTAGTTTATTGTAAGTGCATTATTTAAGTGCTTTGTTTGACCCCATGTTTGGTTATTTTTATACTAGCAGTAAATGGGTACAAGTTTTTTCTGAAGTTAAGATATGAGGGCAGAATTGTTCAAAGTAACCCACCTAGATATCTGGAGGGGAGAGTTAAAACCTTTGCAGAAATGGATTCAGATGAGTGGGGCATGATGACATTAAAGGAAAAGGTTTATGAAGTGGGATATAAGAAGGAAGACAACATTAGGTTGTTTAATTTGAGTGATAATGGTTTAGTAGAGTTGCTTACAGATGAGGATGCTTGTGTATTAGCAAACTATGTTGTTAGACCAAAGGTAGTAGAGATATGGGTTGTCTTAAGGGTGGTTGGAAATGATGAAACAAATGGTGGTGAAGCTGAAATCAGTGCAGATGAGAGTGAGGGTGGTTCTGATTGGCTGCAGGGGGATTCTGCAGGTGAGTATGAGAATGAGGAAACTGGAGTAGATGACTTAGAGTTTCTGAAGTATATTGATCCAAATGTTGAGTATGGAGGTGATGAGGATGGTGGTTGTGATAGAGTTGAAGAAAATACTGAAACATTGGATCCAAAGTATATCAATGCTGAGATCCATTTCTCTGGCAGTGAAGGGGAAGAAACTGAGGGAAATGTGAGGTCTGTGGGATATGTTAGGGAATCTGGTGAGGGAAATGGGAGGGAATGTGTACCTCCTAGGCCAGTTTTGCCATCTCCACTGTGGCTTGGGAAAACATTTCTTACCAAAGGAGATTTTAGAGAAGCTGTGAAAACATATGGGTTACAATTTGGTAAGGAGTTAAAATTTGTGAAGAATGACAAGGTTAGGTGTATTGCCAAGTGTGTGCAAGAGGGCTGTAATTGGAGGGTTAACTGTAGAAGAGATCCAGATGAACAATGTTGGAGAATTATTGTTTTAGTTGATGAGCACAATGATTGTGCATGGGTACATGAAAACAGATTGGTAACTGCCTCACTAATTGCAAAAAGATGGAGAAATCAGATTGATGGGAATAGTGAATGGAAAACTAGTGAATTTAGAAAGAAAGTATGCACTGAGGATCACCATGACTTAACTGTTAGGCAAGCATACAATGCAATGTGTTTGGCTAAGAAGGCAATCAAGGGTGAACTAGAAGACAACTTCAACAAAATTTGGAATTATGAGTTGGAGATAAAAAAAAACAAATCCAAACACAAGGTTTCTTACCAAGTTATCTGATTTAAGATATGAGGGTGGCAAGCACAGATTGCTTAGAGTTTATATCTGCTGGGAGGCTTGTAGAGAGGGTTTTAAGCATTGTAGGCCACTAGTAGGTGTGGATGGATGTCACCTTCGAGGCAAAGCAGGAGGGATGATGCTTACTGCCATTGGTGTAGATGCTAATGATAGCATATTTCCAATTGCATATGCCATAGTAGAAGGGGAAAATAAAGACTCCTGGTGTTGGTTCTTGAAATTATTGAAAACAGATATTGGGCTAAATAACCTTAGGCAACAAAATTACACCTTTTACCGCACAGGTCACTCATCCAGCAACTGCCACTTCTGTCCAGGTATAATTAATAGCTGTTAAGCATATTTTAATTGTTATTAGCTGTCTCATTTTGTGCACCACTAATAGTTGGCCTGGCAGAACTACTTAGGTGCTGATATCCCTCATCAAGAAGAGATACCAATTCAGACACAACCTGAATATGGTACTGATATAGACATCCAGATTGAGCATGATGACCCTGCCTATGTTTTTGAACTTCCTGTTGAATTAGTGCATCTATCAAGTAATGAAATTCCAGGTGGGATGTAAGTCTTATATATGTTGGTTTTAGATAATGATAGTCACTAATGGTTGTTACTTTGCAATTGTTTAGGTGAAAGCTTAAATGTTGGAAATCAAATGAGAGCTCAAGGACCACCACCAAAAAAAGATAAAGACCATAGACAATGTGGGAGGAAAACAAGTCATTACATCTACTGGCAAAGCTAAAGGAAAAAAGTGATTGGACATTTAACCTTGACTGATGAGACAATGTAGACATTTCTATTAGAGCTTTTGTTTTTTTTTTTCTTTTTTTTTTGTGTTTGATATGTGCCATGTAAACTCTAGTTACACAATTTTGGCACTCTCATTTGGCAGTATGTAAACTCTAGTTAGACAATTGGCTGTCTCATTTTGGTCTCTAGTTAGACAATTGGCTGTCTCATTTTGGTAAACATTGACTGTCTCATTTTGGTAAAATTTAGCTCTGTCATTTTGTTACTTTGGTTATGCAATGAAAAGGCTCTGTCATTTTGTTACTTTGGTTATGCAATGAAAAGGTCCACATTTGGTTACTTTGCTTATGCAGTGCAATTGTCATTTGATTACTTTGGTTATGCAATGCAATTGTCCATTTGGTTACTTTGGTTATGCAGTGCAATTGTCCAATTGGTTACTTTACTTATGCAGTGCAATTGTCTGGTGACTTTGGTTATGCAGTAACTTTGACATTACTGAGACCAAACTAAACTGAAAATTACCCAATTATATACACACATTAAATCACAAAACACTTCATTGATCATAAATTAGTGCAATTACAAATACAATTTCACTTCTAGTCTACAATGCCAAGGGACGCGTTTTAACTAATTTTCCACCACCTACAGTTCTAGAATTGGAATTACACAACACCATCACTAACACTGCTACTGCATCAATTGAAATCATCACCATCACCAGGAGATAAGAACACTTTGATTTTTACCATATATACAAATGATCTTCTGCAGTAGCTGTAGCTCTCAACCTTGATTTCAACTTTTGGATTTCCTCCTCATTTCGATTTATACGCCGTAACAGTCCAGGAATGTTGCCCTTGACCTTGCACACATAGGAGGATCATACCATCTTACGAATCCACACCCATCCACTCTCCTGCCCTATACCCAAAACCCAAAACCCAAAACCTATTACAATCTAAAATTAAACACTAAACAAATATAAATTGTCAGAAATTACTCACCATATTCAGTCCACAGTCCCAATACCTTCTCCCAGGATTGTCATTCGTCCATGAGGTGTGTAGCTTCAACGATTCACCACAATGACAACGCATATTCGACATTACTTCACCGTGTTGAAACAATGAGTGGTTTCTTGAGGAACCATAGCTGTCTTCATTGTAGTTCGAATGCATCTCGAAGAAGGCGGTGAAGGGAGAAACTGAATTTAGGGTATGAAGAGAATGAATGACAATTAGGGATTATTCTACATCTTATAACCGACGAGATGAAGGGAGAACGCACGCAGGAGGGGAAATTACCACTCTGACCTTCAACTTGACGGGAATTAAACGGAGAATTTAACATAGGACGAAATTGGGTCAAATTTTGAAACTTAAGGACTTAATTGGTTAAAATTGAAAGTTGAGGACCAATTTGGGAATTTAGCTATAGTCGAGGGACCATTTTGGGTATTTACTCTAAATATAATTAGGAAAGAGAATATAGGAAGAAAGAGAACAAAGAGAGAGAAAAAAAAAAAAACAAAACTGTTTTAAAATAATAATAATAATAATAATAATAATAATAATAATAATAATAAAAAAGCAGCATGTCAGGCGCGCCTACACGCACACGGCGTGACTTTGCTGTGCGCGAAACGCGCGCAACAGCTCTCTCTCTTTATTTATTTCTCTTTATTTGGGAAGAGAAATAACCACTCCCTTGCAGGAGGAGCTACCCGTCTCTCTTTTGCATCTCTCTTCACCATATTGGCTTTCAAACTTCAAAAACTGCAAATAATCTCCAAATAAACTGCTGATATTGATGTTCTAAATGTCATTCTACTTTTATTTTATTTTTTTCAAAGTATTTCCTTTTGATCCTTGTATTATTGTGGCATGATCATTTTTTGTCCTTTATCAACAAAATCGTTTAAATTTTCATAAATACAGGGGCATTTCGATCCTCACTTTCATAAATTTTCATAAATTTTCATAAATACAGGGGCATTTTCATAAATTTTCATATATAGCGGGTCAACGCACTTTGTAAAAAAAAAAAAAAAAAAGATCAAAATGTCTTTGTATTTAATGTTATTTCAGCGATTTTGTTGATAGAGGATAAAAATGACCATTTCACAATAATACTATGATCAGATGTGAATGTTCTAATAAAAAATGACTAAAGTGGATTACCATTATAAATCTATGATAAAAAATAAAATTAACTCTTTAATTAACTACTAACTATTATGTGATGTGATAGCAGTTTTGTTATCATTCTATACATACCGTCAAGATCATTCTCCAATGGACTAGTAGGAGGATAAGCTTTTGCCAGCACTTTCTGCGTCATCGTGATGCTGCTCCCCGCAGGACAAGTCGGACTAATTTATTTATTATAATAAGAAAAAGAAAAAAAATGCTCAAATTAATTAATGTAATTCCACATGCAATTAACCATCAAAGTTTGGATCGGAGTTTGTGTAGAGATATATTTCCCTGAAGATACCTCTGTTCTTCGATCAGATGGCTAGCACTGATGAGCCAACTCGAGGGGGTGAACAAAGTTGATTCCATTACTCATTGTAACTTGAAGATGGCTAGAGATGAGCTTTTATAGAAAAAATTTCTTATAAACAATCCTTTCAGTCCCGGACAAAGACTTGAACCTGTGACTTATCTTTAATACCACCATGATTGCACTAGGCGCTAGACGCTAGTCGGACAGTAGAGTAGCGCCTAGCGCGGCGCCTAATCCGCCTAGGTGGACCGCTAGGCCACTAACTAAAAAATATAAAACAGTGCACGTGTGAGGGTATATATATATATATATATATATATATATATATATATATATATATATATATATATATATAATATGAAAAAAATGAGCAAGGCCGAGTCAGTCAAGTTAACTCAGCTAACTCGATCGAAATGGACGAATTAACTCGACCGAGTTAGGTGCCTAGGGAAAATCGCCACGGTCTAGAACGCCTAGTGCCTAGGCGGCTCCTAGGCGAGGCGCCTAGACCGATTTTTGCAACAGTGAATATCATTTGTTAGGATCAAGCGTTTGTTACTACGTCAAAAGATATAGCTAGTAGCTAAGGGCGAACTTTATTCTCTTATATATTGACTGTCATCACATTTTTTAGAGGCAGAGTGCTAGACTTGGTCCTTCACCGACCTCAGCCCAACAATCCTCTTAATTATCAATTGCTGGACTTGGCCTCCACCCAACAATAAGTGTTGAAAAAATAGTATAAATTGACATTTTAAAGGATAATTTTAAGATATATATTAATTTGAGTGGAATCCACATTCATTTGTATTGACTTAAAATGGATTTACATTCTCCTAATTGAAATTATAAATTTAATATATTATACACTCATTTGATCAGATACTACAATGTAATAAAGTTAGTAGCATTCAATATATATATATATATATATATATATATATATATATATATATATATATATTATACACTCAAAATAGATATGTGTTCATGCTTGTGTATAAGAGCACGTCCATCCAATAATAGACAGATGCTATAAATAGACTGCTATCTATGGAAGAGGGGAAAACAAATAGTGGTAATAAAGAAGTCACATGGTGTGCATCGGTGATTCGGTGTATGGCGTAAATTTATGTAGAATTTGAATTTTATTATTATTGTTTTTACTTCTAAAATTAATTATGTTCATAATTTCGAGTAAGTTAGGAGGAAAATTATATGATGGACCATATTTATAAGTATATTAGTTATAATATATGCAATTAAATTAATGTTCAACATAAAAATTCAAATAAGAATTTACTTAGTAAAATTTTTAAATATTAAATAATTAATATAAAATAAAAATAATTATTTTTAATATAATCAAAATGTGTATTCTCAACTTGTAATAAAAGGAGTAGAAAAGATTAGTATTGCTATAGATAGTTATATTCAAGAATAAAATGATGCCCTAACAATTTTTATATTAAAATAAACTAAATCTATTTGTGATATTGATGAGTTAGTAAAACTTAACATATTTTTTTGTTTGAGGTAACATGATTATAATAGGCTTACTGATGTTGTCAAATAGTAATTAAAGAGTTATGCAATTAAGTTATACCATATGAATTATAAGTTGTGTGTGTGTGTGTGTGTGTGTATTTTTTGAAGGTCAACCAATGTGTTGTATTTATAGATAAGCTGAAATAGTGTCTAGTGGGATAGAATCCCAATACATAGTCGTATCATACTGAAAAGCTATAGAAGCTAAACTATGTGCTAAATAATTTTGCGATCTAGGAATGAAATTAACACGGCAAAATGTAAAAGCTGATAAATAGTTCCTGCATCCATCAATAGCATAACCGATATATGATCGTGACGGCAGATGTTGAGGGGGGGGGGGGGGGGGGGTCAAATAATTCTGAAGAGTCTGACAATCAGTGTAGAGCTCAATAGATTGTTCTCCACGGTTGCGTAACCAAGAGAGGACATCTTTACACGCATATGCCTCGGCCATTAGCGGAGAGAAACAATGGGGTAAGGGCGCACTGTACGCTGAGATAAATCGACCATCCGCCCCCCTAAGCACTGCTCCTACTATAGCTGAGTTGTCCACATGACGATAGCCGGCATCGACGTAGCACCTGTTCGGCGCTTGCATTGAACCATGGTGCGGTGGTACTCCCGGAGACTGATGGGTAGTGCGGTTTTGGCCTCTCGGTTGTTGCACATTTCCGACGCTGTGGCTGGCAGTAGACGACAGCAGTGGCTCGACCACATTGTGGTTGGCGACCGTGGTCATTGGGGTAGCCGGTCCTCTTGGCGTGTTCACATGGACTTGCCGCCATGCAGCCATGGCAGCTTGGGCCGTGGCTAGTAGTCTTCTCGGGGTAGGCAAACACGCGTCCCATACTGCTCCATTCCGGGCCCTCCATAGATGATAAAGAATTGCAGCTGCGTAGGTAATTCCATCAGAATCTAGAATATTTAATATTGCACTAAACCATTCATAAAATATATTCGTCACAATATTCGAGAATGGAAGGTTAGATAGTGCCCAAATGGTCTTTGCATATTCACACAAGACCAATGAATGCATAATATCCTCATTGGCAATCCCACACATGACACACACCGGATCAATCTCTACCATCTTTATAAGTAAATTGTTGGTAGTGGGAAGGATATCACTTATAGCTCTCCATAGGAAGGTTTTCCACTTGGGTGGAATCCTTTGTTTTCATAATGTGAGCCATTTAGTAAAACCCATATTTATAGTATTCTCATAATTTCCAACAATGCATCTGTATCCATTCTTAACCGAGTAGCAACCTTTGGGGTCCCCATGCCAATACCACATATCATCATAATCTGGGGAAACTGGTATCTTTATGATCCTAGCCACGTCATTGGGCTCAAAAATATCAGTAAGCAAATGGTGATCCCATGTTCCTGTCCCCTGATCAATTAAATTTATTACTTTAGCATTGGCTAGTTGGGGTGGCATCTCTGTCTGGATCATAGGGTCTTCTTCATCTTGCAACCAAGGATGTCCTCACACAGAGCTAGAATTTCCATTTCCAATTCGTCTTCTTACCCCACTACAGATCAAGCCCTTAGCCGCCATAATACTCCGCCAGCAGTGGCTAGGGTTATTTCCTAGACCTGCATCTGTAATAGAGTGCCTAGGATAATACCTTGCTTTGTAGACTTTTGACACCAATCTGTATTAGTAAGTAGCCTCCAAACCTGTTTACCCAACAGTGCCACATTAAATGCTCTCAGGTCTTTAAAACCCAGACCACCATACTTCTTAGGGATACATAACTTATCCCAAGCTTTTCAGTGAATTTTCTGATCAGTTCCTGAGCCCCACCAATATCTATTCATAAGCCGCTCAATAGCAGTGCACACAGTTATAGGCAATAAAAATACACTCATTGAAAAGGTAGGCATAGCTTGAGCCACACTTTTCAATAAGATCTCCTTACCCGCTTGCGACAACAACTTCTTATTCCAAGATCCTATTCTCTTCCTGATCTTTATCTTCAATGTAGGCAAACGCTGCTTTTTTATTCTTGCCAATAAAAGAGGGTAAACCAAGATACTTCCCATAGTTAGGTGCCTGGTGTAACACCCCGAAATTTTTAAACTTTTGAAGCTTATATAATAAAGGTAAATTCTTATTAAATCCCAAAACATAATATAAAGAATACGAGGTGTTATGCCACACCTGAGCTAGAGAACTCAGGTGCATAGGCTAACTAACTAATATCCTCAATAATGTAAATATATAAGCATGGCACGCAGGCCGAAGGGAAAACTATCTACTTCTACGCTTCAAGACTCTAGCGCGCTCCAGTGTCTACTCCTCTGTGCCTGAAGCCAAATATATCTGTTCAGCGAGAGATGCTGGTAACCCACTCCAACGCGTTGAAATATAATACATACATATATATATATATATATATATATATATATAGGGTCCGGATCAGGTGAGGACCTAATCTTAGGTGAGGACGTGAGGACTAATCTAGACTATTAAATCAGAATGATGTATGATTGAGATTAAAAGAAACAAATCACACGGATTAAGAAAACAAATCCCTTTAAAATATTAAAATATATAAATTTAGGGTAAATCAGTCTTATTAAAAGATGTGCATTCCTATACAAAATGTTGTGCATATACTGAGTGTTGTGCATCAATAACTTCATTGTTGTGCATTCAAACCCCGCAAAAAAATCATACAGTGAACATCCAATGTTCTACGATGCATTGAACTATGTGCTATAATGCACAACTCCCTAGCCTATAGTGCACAACTTACAACACTAGGTTGCACAATCAGCACACACGAATGCACAATCGTACTACCCAGGCATTTATACATATACACGACAATCCAAATATAGACAATATTATACTCAAAAGAACAAGCGAAAAAAAATAAAAAATACTGATTAGTTTGCATGGGCGAACACTCAATCAATGATGAAGAAATCGCGGCTCCAAATTGCAACGGTGATTATCCAAGAAAATAGGAAACCAATTTGGCCAAGGATTATACATGCGTTCACACTTAAAAAAATAGAAAAAGACACTATTATCCCACTTTAACAAAAAAGATCAATCCATGTCATCTCAAGAACTCAAATCTGGACCATCCAAATAAAAAAACAAACGGATTAGTCCTCACGTCCTCACCTAAGATTAGGTCCTCACCTGATCCGGATTCTATATATATATATATATATATATATATATATATATATATATATATATATATATATATATATATATATATATATATATATATATACGAAAACCATTTTGAACATGAAGATATATCCTGCGAACTCTAACTTTTAAAACAGGGATAGACTCGACACATAGAGCTAAGCACAAATGGCAGTTATAACAAGCATATATAGTTCGCAACAGGCAAGGCAGATAAGACTGAGCATAATCAATAATCATAACCCAACATAGACAATCCCCAACGTAAATCCCGTAGTCACATCCCCAAGATACTCATAATCACAACTCATCCATATCTCATCACAT